CTACAGAATTCCAAACCAATCAAGTTTTAGTAACCTACAGAATTCCAAACCAATCAAGTTTTAGTAACCTACAGAATTCCAAACCAATCAAGTTTTAGTAACCTACAGAATTCCAAACCAATCAAGTTTTAGTAACCTACAGAATTTTAAGAAAGAACTAATTTTATCACCTGTGGCTGGGGAGGTAATTTGTATAGGATTGCATTGATATAATAGAAAGAGGCTCCCGTATTTGGGGGTCGTCTATTTGGGAAATTTTACTGAGATTAGAATCTCCTATAAAAATGATTGGCTTTAGGACCTTCAATCAGGGCTGTGGAGTCGGTAGATAAATGCTCCGACTCCGACTCCGACTCCTCGACTCCGACTCCACAGCCCTGCCTTCAATGACCACTCTTTACCTTTACGGTTTGTGGGAATATGTTTCTGTGGCCCGCGAGTTTTTATTCTCATTGGGTCCTGAAAGTCCTCCTCTGATGTTAAAGAGGAGGTAGGAGACTTGATTTCCATTTGACTCCCAAATCACTATTTAACAAACTGTTTTTCAAATAAACATAATCTTCAAAATAACAACACAGAAAGCTAATAAGAAAAGGTTAAGTCCCAAATGTGAGACTAATAAACAGATATATTACACTCAAAACTTTGCAGACTGCAGTATTTAGCAAACCAAAAACCTCAGCATGATTTACCACATTAAACCAATTCTTGTGAATTCATGCAATTATAAGTTTGCATTATGAATTCTACATCAGTAATGACGATACTTATGGAGACCATTTCAGCTGTCATGTCAAGAAACATTTATATACTGTGATATATCCCAAAAAAGTCCCATTACATTTTTTTCATTCTACAACGTAAATTTTACAACATTCAACAACACTGATGTTACTTTAACTTTTACTCCAATTTTAGTGAACTTCAACCTAATAATGAACTAAAACTATTAGTATACAACGCAAATATAATATTTAAACATTAATGTTTAGTTAATATTGTATAGCAGGATTATCCCTTTAGACTAGCTAAAATAGTGATGGGGGAAAAATAAGCGTTAATCAAAAAGACAAACAGCCATCATCATCTTCAGAGGCATGTTATTCCTAAAGTACATTATTCCAAATGACAGTGGAAAATAACCTTGCAAGATGCAACCACAAAAAGAAGGCTTCAGAGGACTTATCGCGCACAGGAATGTGCAATTTAACAAAAAGGTCCATTGCAAAGATAAGCAGGGTTTCACCCGAACAGCATCGCTGCCTGCTTTATTTAAATGTACGTTGTTGTTCTGTGTATGAAGCTAATCAAAAACAATAGAAAACAAAGAACAGAATTCATTTGAAGTTACAGACATCAGAGTTGGCTGATATAGTACGTATTACAACAGTGATTCATAGTTTTATTGACTAAAACTTGCGAGCACAGAAGCCAAATCTGTTTGTACCCGATATCTGCCCCTCTCACCTTTATGTACGCATCCACTCTGTGCCGGTCAAACCATTAGGCGATATAGACAGCTGCCTAGGGCGCTATTTTTTGAGAGGGCGCTGATTTTGAAAACGGCCGGCGCCCCATCCTGGCTTGAGGAGCGCAGAGCACGCCGTCCGAGACTAAGGGCGGTGAAGATTGGCTTCCACCGGCTTTGCATCCACTTATGTATTTATTCGCATATCTTTATTTATATTTCTATCTTATTTTATTCTATTGTTCTTGCATTTTCTAGGCGAATGACGGCAGTCTGATTTTCATAAATTTCCGAAATGAAGTGTCTGGTCAGTAACTAAAATAGATTACTAAAAAATCTCTACAACAGTCACATACCTGAGTATTATGGTTATCAGACCAGCCAGCTGGGTCAAAGATTATAAATGTGGCTGTGTTTACATTTTTAGATCTGGTGGGAAAGATTAAACAATAACCCAAGTCTCCAGTGCATTATCTACAAAGCAACTGAATGGTTTATAACCAAAACGATGCTTATATGCTGACATTTATTAGTCTGAATCGCACATTACAGGTGAGTCAGACGCTTGGATCAGTCCCTGTCCGGATTGATATTAGCATCACACTGCACCTCCATACCACAACAACAAAATCATTCAATCTGAATGATTCTAGTTCTCCAGCCCAGTGCAGACGTATCATCTGTACCGCTGTTGTGAACATTTATGCTTCTCCTACCTGACTCTTTATCCGAATGACAGTTGCACGGGAACAGGAACAGCAAAGCAAAGAACATGAAGAACAAGTGCACTTTTAACCCCGGTGACACGTCCGCAGACCTCGCCATTTTGGTTGCTAAGTCCGCGGCTTTCTGTCCGTTTTCATGCGTGGAGTGTTATTTTAGCATCTGCTACGGAAGCCGATTAGGGTCTAACCAAACGCGGTCTTTGGACACCTGGTATGGTCCGCTATACTAGGACCGTAGGGGAGGAACAGTTGGACCAGTTAGTCCCGTTACTTGCTTTCAAGCGGTTCTGGAAGACTTAAATGAAGAACTTAAAAATTATTTTTGATTTGAGATAATGTGTGTGTGTGTGTGTGTGTGTGAGAGAGAGAGAAATATTAATGAAATATGATTTATGCATTTTAATTTACTGTTGGTAACTGCTGTCCATTACAGTTAAAAACAAACACATACACTTAAAGAAGAGCAATTCCTTAGTGAATTTTCAGTCGATTTTTGTCTGCTTCCCACAATTTCATCACAGCCTGTGTATTAATCTCTTCAAAATAAGGTTTTAAGAAACAGAAATTTTCTGAAGGTAACTTTAAAGTTTAGCTAATAAACAACCCATTTTCCCACAATACATACAAGCCAACCCAAACCAATGTCATCCTTTGGACAGCGAATAGTCTTTCAGCTTCACAAGACTGTTAGCATGTCAGACTTAAGTGGAAATAATAGAAATGAATGGAAGTTAATCATCGCCTCTTTCATTCGATTTCATCTTACTGTTGTGGTTTTCCCCAACACACTACACATTCGGCTGACCATTTCCAGGCTGTCTTCATGTTACTTCACTAAAAAAAAAAAACTACAATTCGCAGTAGTCAGGAAAATTTATTATTAAGGTTCCCGTGTGAGTACAGTTAAATGTTGTTCTTTACAAATTTCAACATCAGGTTTGGATGGTTACATTTCCTTTTTAAACCAAGGTTTGTTTTAAAAAAAAATAAAAAAAAAAAAAGCAGGACTGCAGTCATGACACATGTTTCTTCATCTTCTGCAGTTAATGTCAAGAGCAACAGAAAATCAAGTAAGGATGGACTAGCTTACTGAAGACATTGCAGTGTAAGAACAGTGCAAATGACAGCATGACGCAGAACAAAATAAGTGAGAATGTAACAAGGAATTACCCCAAAAGATGCATAAATGCAAAAAACTCATAGTTCAATATGAAAAACTGAACTCTTTAGTTAGAATGTAATTTCGCAACAACAATACTTCAATTTATAAGGATTACAAAATAAAACACGCTTAACTGAAACAATGTAATAACACTTAGGTGCTCCACCAATTGTCCTCATAACAGTAGAGAGAATTTCAACATATGAAAGGTATCTCCATATCCTCTACCACATATTATTTCTTTGCTTGCTTGGTTGTAGAATTCCACAATGTCAAATTGTTGTCTGACTTTAAAAGTGACGGATCATCACGTAACAGAAATGAACAGTACAGCATTCAATCCCGCATGATACAAACTCAAAGGGAAATAACTGGTCGGGTATTCCATTCAAAGACATTTTTCAGGTCAGTGTTTTTCTGCTCCATGTTTTTAAGCTTCAAATTCCAGGCCAACGCCTAGTTTATGTCCTCCAGCATTGATGTTTTTGCCATCCAGGAGTGCAGAAAGACTAAGTTTAATGCCTGAGGGGGAAAAAAAAGACATTTAATACCTGAAACCTTAAACGTATGTGGAATTAACACAAAACGAGTATACTATATTATCACAAATCATTACCATAACATATCAATTTCTCTAATTTTTTTAATGAAAAGACAGACTCAAATTATACAACTGACTTTGCCTCTGAGGTAATTAATCAGTTTTGTCAATATTAACGATATTCAAACGTATTTCAATGCTTTCAAAAAGGCTAAATGCAGTCGTAGGGATGGTAAACATTTTTTTTTTTTATCTCAGCCCTTGGTGATTAACGGCAAATACCACATGTAGATATAATCAGGGGTACTCAATAGGCAGATCGACACACTCTTTCATTTTGATGGTGAGACTGATCTGAAATGAAAGACCTATTTGGCAAATGGCTGCAAAAAACCTTCAATAAAATGAAACAAATACTGCAAATGACAACTTTTTCATCCTGTGTGCCTCCGTCTGGCAATATCTAATAAAAACCTGATATAATATGATGCCTTTAACAATCATTATTCCAGGGCAAGTTTTTTTTTACCCAAAAGAAACCGTAATCTTCATTAGTATTTTGAGCCAGAAAGACTGGGTTTTGCTGTTGTACAGCTGGAAGAAACCTGCTTAGATTAGCAGGTAATGATTCAAACACGAAAACTCATCCATTACGGTCCAGGCATATAGCTCCGTGCAAAAGTTCGGGGAAGCTTGGACAAATTTTGCTGTTTGTTGATTTCCTAAGGAAAACAACGTGAGCACAATATCCACATTGAAAAAAGTTAATGTACAGCTGCCATTTATGTGATTATTTTAAAAGAGCAACAAAAAAAAACACCTTACGAAGCATGGGTGGGGATGTACAATGTGTGGGGGTGTGTTAGGCCAGTGGAAAAGAAAATACTGCATGGATAGAAGGAACAGCGGATTGTGCACAGTGCCTGCAAATTCTGAAACCGAGTCTAAAAGAGGCTGAACATTCCCACGAGACAAAGACCAAACATTTAGATCGGTTTTGGAATAGCTGTCAAAGTCCCCACACTTGAATATTACTGAAAATTTATGGGTGGATCTCAAAAGTGCAGTAAATGCAACAGCACCTAAGAGTATTTCTGAATTTGATACATTCTGCGGGGAAGCAGAGTACAAGAATGGCTGGAAGTTGTGGATTCTGGGGGCGTCACAGTCCTGGCTGATAGGCGTGGATTCTGGGGGCGTCACAGTCCTGGCTGATAGGCGTGGATTCTGGGGGCGTCACAG